GCATATGAGTTGAACATTTACCTGAGGTAGATACACTCCTTGGAGAGAACAAGCATGGGAGGAAGAAGGGCTGCTTATGCACAGGGAGACAGCTTGGGGCAGGAATGCATGGAGGGATGGACACTGGCAAGAGATAACTATGGGAAGGAAGTGGGAGGGGAGCTGTTGCATTGTGGTAAACTGTGGTCAATGTCATGATACCAGTGTATGTGAACTGCTGTATGGAAAGTAAATTTGCTCTGTAAATCTTCACCCAAATCACAATCAATCAGTACTATGTTGGTGAAAGTAACTTGTGAAGAAAATGTTGAGGCAGTCTTTTAAAATCTTTAATAATAGTTCCTTAAATAGGTATTGAAAAATACTATAAACTTTTCTGAAAAATAATTTAACCACAGCAGATTTTTTTGTATGTACTTTTCACATTTTAGTAGTTATGTGTTAGCCCAAAAATTTTACTGGATTTTGTATAGCAGAATTGCATATATTGTCGCATTTATGAATAATGAGCATTTGATTAGTTCTTTCATTGTTAATAAGTTCAACATATCACAATGAAGGGAGGAAATTCTAGTGTCTCAGTTTGTAGTAGATATTGATCGTTTGTGTACTTGTGAGGATGTTCATTATACTATCAATTACCTTGTTGTTGTTGTTGTTGTTATGTGCCGTCGAGTCGGCCCCGACTCATAGCGACCCCTCCTTGGGTTTCCGAGGCAGTATCACTACGGAAGTAGGATTGCCCAACCTTCCTTCCGAGGAGTGGCTGGTGGGTTTGAACCGCCAGCCGTCTGGTTAGCAGGCAAGTGTCTTAGCCACTATGCTACCAGAGCTCCTATTAATTACCTTAGTGATGATTATTTCATTATTATGTAGAAAAGCCATATATAACTATTGTCTATAAAATAAGAAAGCTTTTTATGTACAATTTTGTTCAATTCATTTTAATAGTTTTTCAAAAACAGCTTTTTATGAAGGGAAAATTATGTTTTAAGCATAACGTAGTGCCTAAGGCGCTTGACTGGTAACCAGAAGGCTGGTGATTCAAATCACCAGCCACTCCTTGGAAGGAAGGTGGGCAGTCTACTTCCATAGTGATACTGCCTCAGCAACCCAAGGAGGGGTCACTGTGAGTCGGGTCCAACTCGACGGCACGTAACAAGAACAACAACAAGTGTTTTCTGTAAACTAACCTGTCTCTAGTTCCTGAGAAACTTGCTTTTTAGTATAGTGATCATTCTTAAAAATGATACTAAAATAATTCAAGAAAAAGCTCCTTAAATTTTAATTATTGTGGATTTTTTATTTTAATCACCACCTATGTTTTAGTCTCATCTCTTTTCAAGTGGATAAAATCCTTATCATCATAAAATATAATTGTGTAGTATAAACATGAAGGAGCTCTGATGGTGTAGTGGTTAAGACATTTGGCTGCTAGTGGTTCCAACCTACCTGCTACTTCATAGAGGCAGTCTGCTTCTGTAAAGCTTTACAGCCTTGGAAACCCAACGGGGGATGCTATGAGTCAGAATCATTTCAATAGCAGTGCGTTTGATTTGTTTGTTTGTGTGTGAGTATAAGCTTACAAGTATAAATAACACATTTCGAAATATTCATTGTTCCTAATTTCCTCACATTTGTATCTTCCTTTTCCCAGGGAAACTGATAGCCAGTTTTTTTTTCCCCTCTTTGGAAATAACTAAAGAGAACCAAGGAAGAGATGAATATATAATATATGGTTAGAATAAGCCATAAACTGTATGAAGGCATGTAGTATGGTCTGTGGCACAGAAGGCACTCCATAAAGGTAGAGGTTTTACTTATATCCCAAATGAAAATTATATATAAAATTCTTTTGGTTAGTTAATTGCTGATTAGTATATCAGTAGTCTGTCAGATAGTCAAATTGATCAGATGTATTACTTCAGGCTTGGAGATTCTGATGCAATATTTTTAAGATATTTTTAAAAATATCTTTCTGGTTTTCATTTAAGTACCTTTTCAAAGCACAGAACCAGTGTTAAAATGTGAGATGTTAGAAAGATTCTAGTTTTGAACATGAAACCCTGTTTAACAACGCATAGCCCAACTATAGCATAATGAAAGTCACATTTTACAGTAAAATACATACTATATAATACTGTTACTATAAGATAGTCTACCATGAAGTTTTCATCCATGCTTCTTAATAAAACCAAAACCAAACTCACTGCCATTGAGTTGATTCTGACTCATAGCAACCCCCATTTGGTTTGCAAGGCTGTAAATTATTACAGAAGCAGACCACCCCATCTTTCTTCCGTAAAGTGGCTTGTGGATTCAAACCACCAGCCTTTTGGTTAGCCAAATGCCTTAACCTCTGTACCACCAGAGCTCCTTAGGCTCCTTAATAGGAGTATTTTATGGTTAGATTTCATTTAATTCCTTAAAAAATACTTTTTTTTGACTGGAGTTAGCAGTGCTAATGTAGAACTTTGAATAGGACTGTAAGTTTCCTTTTTTGTGTGTGTTCTGATCAGAGTTAATTTCACAAAGATTATTCAGTTATAGCTATATAGTTGAATTAATATGAGCATTCATACACTTGTAGTTTCTTTTAAAAGGAGCTGCGTTCTAGTGAAGGCACTCTAGTGGCATAGTGGTTAAAGCATTTGGCTGCTAACCAAAAGGTCGGCTATTTGAATATACCAGCTGCTCCACAGGAGCAAGTTGTGGTAGTCTGCTTCCGTAAAGATTTACAGCCTTAGAAACCCTATGAGGCAGTCTGCTCTGTCCAATAGCATCACTGTGGGTTAGAATTGACTCGATAGCAGTGGGTTTGGTTTGGACAACTTGTTCTCAGAAACTTTATTATAAGGGGATACTATCATATAACATAGGCCAGCTATTACTGTGGAGTCTGTATATCCTCTAACATTTTATGTAAGTTTTTGTGTTTGTACATTCACATTCTTCTCTGGAAAGATTTTTGTTTTCGACTGTTTCTCACAACAGTTACACACTCAAGTTAAAGAAACACTGAATTGGGGCTATAGGGGCCCTGATTGGATTACTGTATCTTTTTCCTGAGCCAGACCACCTTCCTCAACCCATTAAGCATGAAGGAGACTTCAGCAAACATTTGTTGAGCACTAGCCCTGTGGTAAAAGCAAGTTAGGCAAAGCCCCTGTCCTCAGAAAACTTAATCAGTCACAGTATCTCTTGCTCAGACTAACAGTTTAAATAACACCTTATTCCTGGATGTTTTTTTCTTCCCCCAGGCTGTTTATTAACCACGTTTTGTGTATTCTTCATTTTTACTGAGATTTTTAAAAATAACTCATGAGGCACAGTGTAATGAAGATAATTTGTTTAATTTCATGATATCGTTTATCAGTTACATTTTATGTAATGATAAAAATACTCCTCTGTGTTAATCTTACATTCTAAATCGGTAATTAGATGAGTATCTTTCTGAGTTCCTTGGCTGTAGTTAAAAATAGTTGTAGAGTCAGGACTGTCCTTTTCCTTTGCATCCCTAGTGTCTTAGCCCTATATATGAGACTTTTTGATGCTGAATAAATATTGAAAGGTAAATATTGTTTTGTTTTCCAAAACTAGAAATGACATCTGACCAGATTGCTCATCTGCTTAAAAATATTGAATGGTTCTATATCAACTTCAGGATTTGTTTCTAAGTCCTGAGACTGATCCAGAACCATTCAATATCTTTTAGCAAATGTGTCATACAACACCTTCTGTGATCTAGGTGGTACTGCTCTGCTTCCCGTTTTATTTTATGCTTCAGCCATGCCTCCAAGCTCCTGCCTACAATTGTAACCTCTCCCTTACCACCCTGTCCTATTGCTCCTGTTTAGCTGAGACATCTCCTTCCCTGGCTCTCTTGGCTTGGACTAGATAGTGTTACAACATAATGTGTTTTTTGAGTGTGTACTTTTCTTCTGCTCTTTACTAGTCTATAGGAGTTGTTGTTATGTGCCATCGAGTCAGTCCCGACTCATAGCGACCCCTCCTTGGGTTTCCGAGGCAGTATCACTACGGAAGTAGATTGCCCCATCTTCCTTCCGAGGAGTGGCTGGTGGGTTTGAACCGCCAGCCTTCTGGTTAGCAGTCAAGTGCCTTAGCCACTATGCTACCAGAGCTCCCAGCTATAGGAAAGTACATGCTAATCTCATTTTCTGTAGTATCTGTGGTGCCTGTCCAGTGATTCATAGTAGATGCTCAATGAAAACTTAGCAAAACATAATATAGCTCAGTAATCATCTCTGTTTTTATGATTGAGATACAGTTTCCTTTTTCTCTCTAAGGTTTTTCAGTTTAGTTAAAGGCAATAGTAGGAATGTTTATTTGTGAAAAATGGATCTCTCTTGTGCCTCTCCAATGTTCTCTTCAGGTAATAGCAAAACCATTTAACAGGATTGGTAAAATTACATTGAGGACTGGTTATTTATCCCTCTACAGATTTTCACATATTAGAAATTTTGTTATTGTACATATACTTTCTCCATTGTAGTTGGATTGTACCTCTTCTCAGAACTTGTTTCCCCTAATAAAACATGAGGGTTGATTTTTTTTTTAATATGTTAAAATGCCTTTTATCTTGTTAAATTACCAGTTGAGATGTTATGCTGTGGACTTGTGGAACCAGTATAATATTCCACCTAAATAATCAGCTTGTATCTGAAAATGACCTGAGAATGACCATTTAGGTTTTGAAATAAAAAGTGCACAGAACTGATACTTAGCACAGATGCCACCTGGTGTTTCCTGTGGGTACTTCATGCATTCTTTTTTTTTTTTTTTTAAATTATGATTAGGGTAAAAGTTTACAGAGCAAATTAATTTTCATTTCAACAGTTTATATACATTTACTTCATACATTCTTAAATATTTGTCATCTATTAATTCTAACTTCACATTAGTTGGTACAGTTGGTTAATGAAAGAAGGTTAATTGAAAATAAGCGTCAACAGTTTCAAAATTAGTTACACTTAAAGCAAATATCAGTATGCTGTATGAGAAAAATCTGACTTACATCATTTATTTCTCATGACTAGGAGAGGCTGTTTTCTATTGGTATTTGTATATTAAGCTGAATTTTCTTAGTTTTCAAGCAAAATTGTAAATTACAGTCAGCATTTAATAATTCAGAGTCTTAAAGATTACCTTGGCTTTTGATTCTTTTAAGTTCTATGTCCTGTCAATTGGGGCTTGTTTTATCATGTATTAGTTCTTTTTAGGGTGTCGGCAAGAATAGGAAAGGAACACAAATGAATCCATTTTTCTGCTTTGTTGAAACACTGGATCAGGTTTCAGGATTAAGAAAATTTTAATTTAAGAACAAAAGATTAAGAAATTGAAAGATTAATATGATTAAGTTTTTCTAAAATTCATGTTTTTGTAGAGTTCTTTGTTGGTGGTTAAGATGAATGCTATTTCTCTTGCTCTATTTTCTAGAATAATTAAGGTTTATATATAACTGATGAATTTTTAACACAGGTCAAGTGTGGTTTCAGTGAGTCTTTGGTTTGCAGTTAAAAAATGTGTTTAGATAAAAAGAATTGTGTTTTCAGTATGACAGTGACTCCTTAAATATGAACCCTGAGACTAAATTATAGTTAATACATCTTCAAATTGAATTTCAACATGGCTATGACAAATGACATACCTATTTTTTTTAATTAAGGAGCCCTGGTAGTGCAAACAGTTAAGTGCTCAGCAGCTAACCCAGAGGTTGGCAATTCAGACTCACCCAGTGGCTCTGAGGGAGAGAGACTGGCAGTCTGCATTCATGAAGATTCAAAACCAAAACCAAACCCATTGCCATTGAATTGATTCCAACTCATAGCAACCCTCTGTAGAACTGCCCCATAGGGTTTCCAAGGCAATAATGTTTATGGAAGCAGATTGCCATGTCTTTCTCCAGTAGAGTAGCTGGTGGGTTCAGTTAGCAGCCAACCACTTAACCATTGCCTAAAGATTTGTAAGGCTCCTTTTTCATAAAGATTACAGCCTAGAAAACCCTGTGGGAAGTTCTGCCCTGTTACATGGGGTCCCAGTGAGTCAGAATCAACTTGATGACACCTAACATTTTAATTTTAAAACTATGTAACATAAATACAACATACAGCATTATTATACTTATCATAAATGATAAACTCTCTCTTTTTATAGGATGTTGATGCTACAAACCCAAATTATGAAATTATGTGTATGATCAGAGACTTCAGAGGAAGTTTGGATTATCGACCATTAACAACAGCAGATCCTGTAAGGTTCTTTGTAAACCATTACTCTGGAATTTTTTATATTGCAAATAAAATCATTTATTCTAGGTATATATATATAAAAGTCTGATGCATTAAAGTCATACTGTGTTTACTTGTGTATATTTTTCCTCTTCTTATGGATGCTCATTCCCTACATTTTGAGAAGGAAATCAAGAAATTATCTACATTTATGCTTATCTCCTATCAGTTGATATGTTAGACATGTTGTGCACAGAATGTCCTTTTCAAAGCAAAGCTTCCCTGTCTTTGGAAGGATAGAGGTTTTGTTTAAGAGTGGTTGATTTTCAGAAGACCCATTTTCCTTTCTGACCCTCACTTTTACCTTGATCTCAGTTCCAAGCTTATTTTCTCTTTGGTTTGAGCTATAGAGTCCCATCATTCCAGAGAACTTTACTATTAATTGATTCGTTATTTTAAAATAAATGTTATTCTGGCTTTGAAAATGATAATTGTTGAGGGCTGCTATAGACTAGAAGTCTAGTGCTTGTTAGGTGTTCTGCTATCTTATTTCTTAACTCCTTGGAGAATGAGCATTTATTGGACAGGCAATCCTTTCGTGAGTAATTGGTACTTAGGAAAACTATAACCTGTATAACCTGTCAGACCTAGCATATACACAATGTATTGGTTAAACCAGGAGCTCTGGTGGCACAGATGGTGAAGTACTTGGTTGCTGACAGGTTGGCAGTTGGAATCTACCTACTGGCTCCACAAGAAGAAGACCTGGCAATCTGCCGTGGTAAAGATTAGAACCAAGAACCCTAGTGTTTTGTCACATGAAGTCTCTAGGAGTCGAAGTCAACTTGATGGTACCTAACAACAGTAATACTGGTTACACAAAATACATTTGTGTTAGGCAGATGTATTATATAGAATTGAAAAAAGAATTAACGGTTGTGTGCCATATATTCTATGCATCTCTATGTTTACCCTGTTACATCTGAGTGTATGGTTTAGGACCAACACTGTAAAGAACCTGATAGTAAATATTGGCTTTGTGAGTTATATGAACTCTGCCCAAATATTCAGCTTTGCCATTATAGTGCAAAAGTAGCCATATACAATATATGAGTGAAAGGATATGGCTGTGTTCCACTAAGACTTAGAAAAGCCAGGTAGTAGACTCGATTTTGCCTGTAGTCTGTAGGTTTCCCATCACTGCTTTATGATATTTAAAAAAAAAAAAAACTCACTGTCGTCGAGCAGGATCTGACTCATAGTGACCCCTCCTTGGGTTTTCAAGGCAGTATCACTACAGAAGTAGATTGCTTGCCCAACCTTCCTTCCAAGGAGTGGGTGGTGGGTTTGAACAGCTAGCTTTCTGATTAGCAGTCACATGCCTTAGGCACTACACCACCAGAGCTCCTTTGCTTTATGATAATTCTTATTAAAAGGCAGATATTGAGAAAACATATATCTTAAGAGATTTATGTATAGGAATTGGCATATTTATAAAAATGGTACAAATTATTTTGCTTAGTAATCTTTTGGGAATTATGTTGCTGTGCCTATAGTTATCTTTGCTAGTAACTTTTCCCTATACTCAACCTGAAAATATATCAGTTGGTATAAATTTTTACTTTTGTTGTATACTGGACAATCAGGTTGCATATACTTCTTGCTTATTAATTGAGATGAATAAGACAGCATCTTAAATGAAAACCTAATGCTACTAAGAATAGTAGTAATATGTCCTCTGTAAAGTTGTTTCCTAAGGTGATGACTTACCAAATAACAAAATAAACATGTCTACTTATACTCAGATTTTTTTTTAAAAAGCAGTTATGTGTGATAATTATTAAAGTTGTATGAGCTACTTTGTTTTTTAAGTTTGCTTACCATATTTGGCCCAGTGCTTAAAGCATTGGCCTACTAACCAAAAGGTCAGTGGTTTAAACCCACTAGCCACTCCATGGAAGAAAGATGTATCAGTCTCTGTAAAGATTTGCAGCCTTGGAAACTCTATGTGACAGTTCTACTCTGTCCTGTAGGGTTGTTAGGAGTCAGAATCAACTTAATGGCAGTGAATTTGGGTTTGTTTTAGTTTTATCATATTCATGTTATGTATAAATATTTAAAACCTCTGGAAAATATACTACATAATTGACTTTTCAGTGTTTTCACACTGATTGATACTCACTGAAATAAAATATTTTTTCATAGATTGATGAACATAGAATATGCGTTTGTGTAAGGAAACGACCACTCAATAAAAAAGGTATGATACATAATGAGGTCTAATAAAAGGAAAACTTTTGTCTTATTTGCAGTGTATTTTGATAATCATATAAATCACATTGGTTTGAAAGAGTTAAATACAAGTCTTTTATTTTCATTTGTACATAACCATTAAGTACTTTTCTATGGCTAGATCTATTGATTTGTTACTAGCACTGTGTGTCATTGCCATTCCTGGTTCTAGCTTCACAGAAGTCTTGATTTTTTTTTGTTGTTGTTTTTAACTTTGTTGTTGAGGTAGTTCATCTTATTGAACAGCATATCTATGAGATACTATCATTGTGTTTAAAAACAATACTTTGATCTGAATTCGTACTACTTAAAATAACTTTTGTACATTAATTCAAATGCTATAAAAATTACTGGACATTGATTTTCATTTATTCTTTTAGAAACGCAAATGAAAGATCTTGATGTAATCACAATTCCTAGTAAAGATGTTGTGATGGTACACGAACCAAAACAAAAAGTAGACTTAACAAGGTACCTAGAAAACCAAACATTTCGTTTTGATTATGCCTTTGATGACTCAGCTCCTAATGAAATGGTTTATAGGTAGGTAAATTCCTTTTGAATCAGAACTTGTTTTTATACCTTGTATTCATCACCACCATAAAATTTACATTGACCTTGGATCTCTCTCCAGAGGTATAATATTTTATTCTGAGTTAAACAAAGAAAAAAGTGTAATAAACACTGTAATGATGTTAAGATTTGTTCTCCTTAGTGCTCTAAAAACTCAGTTTTCATTAGTAATTAATTATACATATTATACACACATACACACACCATATATGTGGATAAGAAATTTCCATGTCTAGAAAATGATAGCATTTCTGTTACCTCAGAGAAGAGAGTATAGTGAGAAGAGGACTTTTATTTTTCACTTTTTATTCTTTGTACTATTAAAGAAATTTGAAATACTTGATAAAATATACCACCACATCAAGTAAAACATTCTGTAAATCTATTTGTTACTCCCTAATTTTTATCTTCTTCTAACTTTGGAATAGTTTTAGTTCATGAAATTCTTGCATGTTCATATTTGATATCCCAAATTTTTATGCCAAATTTAGATGTTGATACTTTAGTTAGCAATTGTAATTATTATAACAGTTCAGTTAAGCATCATTGTTATCTTAGAACTGTCTTTGCAGTTACTTGAATGGTCTGTTTTGTTGTCCTTCTATAACAATGACTAGAAATGATAAAATTAAAGAATTATTAAAATGCAGGCAGTCCCCAGGTTATGAATGTCCAACTTAAGGACAACTCCTGCTTGCCTTTTAATGTTATGTAAATTTACTCTCACTTTGAAACAATAGGCGCTCCAGTGGTTTAGTGGTTAAAGCATTTGGCTGTGAACTAATGATTGGTGGTTCATATTCACCAGCCACTCTGCAGGAGACAGATGAGGCAGTCTGCTTCTGTAAAAATTACATCCTAGGAAACCTTATGGGGCAATTCTCCTGTCTATAGGGAATTGATTGATGTAGTGGGGAGAGTTTGAAACTATGAAAGCAACCTCTACTCGCAATACATTCTTCATCACAATCACCTTCACTTGTTGCACATGGAGCTTTTAAATCACTGAAAAGATTTCAAGCCTTTTCTCCACTAAAGTCAGGCTAAACATGAACTGTATGCACCTGTTCTGATTAACCTATGCTGTAGGTCGTACTGGGGAGCTCTGGTGGCATAATGCCTAAGGCATTTGACAGCTAACCAGAAGGCTGGGAGTTCAAATCCACCAGCCACTCCTCAAAGGAAGGTTGGGCTATCTACTTATATAGTGGTACCACCTCGAAAACCCAAGGAGGGGCCATTATGAGTTGGAATCCACTTAATGGCAGTAAGGCATTTTCTATTTTGGGGTTTGTTGTTGTTGGTAGGTCATCCTTTCGTTTGTACTCTGGAGACTGGCTGTACTAAAAATTGAAAGTGTTAAAAACAAAATATTATGAAACCAACCTCGTAGGAGAGCTCAGTTGTAAGGAAAGAGAACAGAATTAAAGAACATGAAATGCTAGAGATATTGTGAAGAATAGGGTTTAAAAGAGAATTACAATTTTAATTGGGTGATATTTTTTACTTTCTGAGAACAGAATCCTCTCTTCTGCCTTACTATCTCTACTTCCATTCCTACATCATAAAATGTATTTGTTTGACTTCTATAAGCATTTTCAAGAAATCATTATAGAGGTGTTTTTCTGTCTACTTGCTAGTTTAGTACACATTCTATTTCACTGTGTATGTATGCTTAACTTTACCAATATTGCTTTTATCCTTTATCTCTTATCCTTAATTTTTTTGGATTGAGGACTCCATTTCTAATTCTATTTTATCAGCACTTTTCTTCTCATTTTTTTTTCTGTATTCTTTAGTTTTGCCTTATTATTTAAAAAATCAATGGCTACATAAAGTGTTCCCCTTACATTTTGTTAAAGCATGTATAAAACGTAGATTTGTTTTCTGTCATATTTTCTAGTGCTCTGTTCAATGAAGTATTTGTTGTTCCCCCTTTTTCTTTTAACTGAATCAGTGAATTACACCAATATAATTGAAAAATAATTCAAGCCATAGTATTTTTGTCATCCTTTCTCTGAATCAAAATTATCAACTCAGAACTAAGAGTCTTACAATTTATATTCTTATAAAAGTTACTGGTCCACATTAAAGCAAATCTTACTGGTTTTTCTGTTTACTTAAGTCTTACGATAATGTGTTTGTAGGTTTTTTACCCCTGTGCGTTTCTTTATTGAGATTATCACTCTGTCCTGTTTCTTATTGAAATTGTAATCCATTCTTTTTAAGAGTGAAGGGTATTGGTTTCATCATACATGTCTGTCTTATGTTGCTATAAAATTACTGTTGTTTATTAATCCTTTTTAAAATTTTTTCCTACTTCTGTGTAGGTTTCCTATTTCCTACTCAGTTAATACTAATTTTTATTTAGTTCATTACCATTGTTACCTTTGTTTATTTTAGAATTATTACTTGGAATTATGCTTTAAACATTGCTAGGATATGGTTATTAGGATCTTCCACTAACTATTGAATTAAGTTGTGTGTCACAAGACTTGGTATTAGTGTTGGTATTTGTTTAATTAAATACTGACAGCAAATTCTGACATGCGTTTAATTTTAAGGTTTACAGCCAGACCACTTGTGGAAACTATATTCGAAAGAGGAATGGCTACATGCTTTGCCTATGGGCAAACTGGAAGTGGAAAAACGCACGTAAGTGATTCATTAAAGTAACATCCTGGTATGAAGTTTTACAGTTAAGTTTTCTTCTGACTTAATTCTAAGACTTCAGTTCTTAAGACTTTTTCCTGAATAACAGCTGTTATTCTTTATTTTCTTTTTAACATACAGACTATGGGTGGTGACTTTTCAGGAAAGAACCAGGATTGTTCTAAAGGGATTTATGCATTAGCAGGTACCTGTTGCTTTTACATACACATGTTATATTTTGCAGTATGCTTACTGAATCTTACTCAGGTGGCTTTGAAATTAGACTTTTAGAAATATTGTCCAGGAATTTAAGGACAACTATAATACTATATTTACTGCACATCATATTAACTATAGGTTATCATGCTGCTTAAAATGAACCATGAGATTACACTTTTGGAGAGAAATCTTTATTATATTTGTGATAGTGTAATCTGGCACAATGTTGTAGTATTATTGTTGAACAATTGAATTGTAAAACTTTTGATTTAATATGGTTACAAAAGTAACCTTATTATGACCAGCTATAATTTTATGCTATTTAGAAGGATAAGTAGTGGCATCTTTTTTTTTTTTAATGTGAAAAAAAAAGCATCTGGACCTTACATGGAAACAACAACAAAATTACAGTGTTTTTTAGAATTAATGTTAACTTTAGTCTTTATTTTTATTATTAATATTTTCATTCTAGCCATAGATTAACTTATTCCTCTAAAAATTGAAAATTTGAATTGCTTTTTAAAAATATTCATTGTGTCTTAACTGTGTATAAAATTCTTGACAGCTCGAGATGTCTTTTTAATGCTAAAGAAGCCGAACTATAAGAAATTAGAACTTCAAGTATATGCAACCTTTTTTGAAATTTATAGTGGAAAGGTAAGTGTGAATTACTTATGTATACTGGAATATTATGTTAAAATTTATGTTAATGAGATTTTTTTTTAATGTCCTTTGAAACTTCACCTTTAATATTGAGCATTGCTACTCTAATAATTGGCATACTGTGCCAGGAATGGCAAACTGAAGAGGAATGGTTTGATGTTCATCATCACAAAGAATGTTTCAAGATCTATCCTGAAGTACAATGCTGTCAGTGATAGGATAATATCCATACTCCTATAAGGAAGGCCAGTTAATATTAACTACTACTCAAATTTACTACCAACCACCAAAACCAAAGATTAGGAAATTGAAGATTTTTTACCAACTTCTTGCAGTCTGAAGTTGACTTAACATGCAGTCAAGATGTGCTGATTATCACTGATGATTGGAATGCAAAAGTTGGAAAGAAAGAAGAATTACCAGTAGTTGGAAAATTTGGCCTTGGTGATAGAAATGACGCTGGAGAGCGCATGATAGAATTTTGCAAGACCAATGACTTATCCATTGGAAATAATCTTTTTTCAACAACAAAAATGGCAGCTATACACGTGCACTTCACCAAATGGAGCACACAGGAATCAGATTGACTATATCTGTGGCAAGAGGTGATTGAAAAGCTCAATATCTTCAGCCAAAACATGGTCAGGAGCTGATAATGGAGTAGACCATCAACTGCTCATATGTAAGTTCAACTTGACATTCAAGACAATTAAAACAAGTCCCCAAGAGCCAAAATATGACTTTGAATACATCCCTCCTGAATTTAGAGACCATCTAAAGAATAGATTTGATGCATTGAACACCAATGACTGAAAACCAGAGGAATTGTTGCATGACATCAAGAACATCATCCATGAAGAAAGCAAAAGGTCATTAAAGAGACAGGAAAGGAAGAAAAAACCAAAATGGATGTCCGAAGAGACTCTGAAACTTGCCTTTGAATGAGGAGTGGCTAAAGCAAATGGGAAAAAAATGACAAAATAAAAGAGCTGAACAGAAGATTTCAACGACCAGCTTGAGAAGACAGTTATTATAATGAAATGTGCAAAGACCTGGAGTTAGAAAACCAAAGGGGAAGAACATGCTCAGCATTTATCAAGCTGAAAGAACTGAAGAAAAAATTCAAGCTTCGAGTTGGAATACTCAAAGAATCTGTGGGCAAAGTATTGAATGATGCAGGAAACATCAAAAGAAAATGGAAGAAATACACAGAAGCACTGTCCCAAAGAGAATTGGTTGATCTTCATCCATTTCAGGAGGTGGCATATGATCAAGAACCAATGGTATTAAAGGAAGAAGCTGAAGCTGCAGTGAAGGAAGTGGCAAAAAACAAGGTTCCAGTAATTGAGATGTTTCAACAAACAGATGCCGCGCTGAGACACTCACTCGGCTTTGTCAGGAGATTTGGAAGACAGCTACCTGGCCAACAGACTGGAGCAGATCCATATTTGTACCCATTCCAAAGAAAAGTGATCCCACAGAATGTGGAAATTATCAAATAATATCATTAATATAACAGCTAGTAAAATCTTGCTGAAGATAATTCAAAAATGGTTGCAGCAGTATATTGACAGGGAACTTCCAGAAATGCAAGCTGGATTCAGAAGAGGACGTGAAACAAGGGTTATCATTGCTGAGTCAGATGGATCTTGGCTCAGAGCAGAGAATACCAGAAAGATGTTTACTTGTGTTTTATTGACCATGCAAAACCATTCAATTGTGTAGATCATAACAAACTGTGGATAACATTGAGAAGAACGGGAATTCCAGAACACTTAATTGTGCTCATGAGGAACCTGTATATAGACCAGCAGGCTGTCCTTTGAACAGAACAAGGGGACACTGCATAGTTTAAAATCAAGAAGGGAGTGTGTCAGGGTTGTATCCTTTCACCGTACTTACTCAATCTGTATGCTGAGCAAATAATGCAAGAAGCTGGACTGTATGAAGAACCATGTGGCATCACGATTGGAGGAAGGCTCATTGACAGCCTGTGAAATGGTGACAGTGCAACTTTGCTTGCTGAGAGTGAGGATGACTTGAAACACTTACTGATGAAGGTTGAAGACTACAATCTGCAGTATGGATTACACCTCAATATAAAGAAAAGAAAAATCCTCACAACTGGACAAATAAACAGCATCACGGTAAATGAAGAAAAGATTGAAGTTGTCAAAGACTTCGTATTACTTGGTTCTACAGTCAGTGCTAGTGGAAGGAGCAGTCAGGATATAGGAATATATATATATATAGGACTTGGCAAATCTGCTGCAAAGAACCTCTTTCAAGTGCTAAAGAACAAAGATAACTCCTTGAGGACTAAGGTGCACCTGATACAAGCCATGATATTTTCAGTCGCCTCATATGCATGTGAGAGGTGGACAATGAATAAGGAAGACTGAAGAAGAGTCAATGCTTTTGAATTGTGCTGGTGAAGAATGCTGAAAATACCATGGACTGCTAAAAGAACTAAGAAATCTGTCCTGGAAGAAGTGAAGCGGGAGTGCTCCTTGAAATCGAGAATGGCCAGACCTTGTCTCCCCTACTTTGGTCATGTTGTATGAAGAGACCATTCCCTGGAGAAGGGTATTATGCTTGCTAAAGTGGAAGGTCAGTGAAAGAAGGGAAGGCCCTCAACAAATGGCTACAATGATGGGCTCAGGTACAGTAGGAATGTGGAGCTGGCACAGGACTGGACAGTGTTTCCCTTCTGCTGTACATAGGGTTGCTGAGTCGAAGATGACTCAACAGCACCTAACAGCAACAACAACTCTAATAGTGGTTTGAAATGTTCAGATTTTGACTCATTTTTATTGAACTGATTCTTACTTTCTTAAGAACTAATTTTTTAATAATTTTAATAATAATTGTTTCTTGTAGGTGTTTGACTTGCTAAATAGGAAAACAAAATTAAGAGTGCTAGAAGATGGAAAACAGCAGGTTCAAGTGGTGGGATTACAGGAACGCGAAGTTAAATGTGTTGAAGATGTACTTAAACTCATTGATATAGGCAACAGTTGCAGGTAAATTTTTCATTTTAATTAAGAAAGAGAAACTTAATTTCCTGATCACTTTTAGATACTTTGATAATTGTATAGCAACCAAGTAAATGTTAGTCAATGCATTTTGGAAGTAAAAATGTTTGTTCATAGAAACTTACATTGTTTCATGTAACTGTTGAGTGACATCTGTTAAATTGATACCATGCTACGAATTTAAAGTGGTGCTAACTCAAAATATTTTTTTGTATTTAAATAATGAAAAAATAATGTTTTTTTTAAATGAAAATACAGTCTTCCCTCGGTATCTGTAGAGAATTGCTTCCAGAACCCCTGTGGATACCAAAATCCACATATAAAATGAAATAATATCGCATATAATCTATGCACATATTTCCATATATGTTAAATCATCTCTAGACTACTTATAATGCCTAATAGAGTATAAGTGCTATGTAAATAGTGCTCTGTGCTCTCCCCTACTTTTTGAGGGATTACTTCAACTATTTAATTGCATTCCCCCTCCAAATATTTTTGAACCATGGTTGGTTGAATCCATGGATATGAAACCCACAGATAAAGAGGGCTGACAATGTGAATACATACATTGAAGTTATTAAACATCATAATTTCCTTAATCACATTATAGAACATCCGGTCAAACATCTGCAAATGCACATTCATCTCGGAGCCATGCAGTATTTCAAATTATTCTTAGAAGGAAAGGAAAACTCCATGGCAAATTTTCTCTCATTGATTTGGCTGGAAATGAAAGAGGAGCTGATACTTCGAGTGCAGACAGGCAAACTAGGCTTGAAGGTGCTGAAATTAATAAAAGCCTTTTAGCACTCAAGGTAAATAAAATATTTTACTGTGAAAAGTCATTGTCTTTTACTGTAATATTGTTTATTTAGCCACAAAATGAAAATACTTGTCTAATAAGTAAGAGAGGTTACCAAAATTTAGTTGTTTATATTTAGTGATAGATTTATTATATTGTACCCAATATTTTTCTTTGCATGCATTATTCATTTATTTTAGGGTAGGGTAGGTAAAGGGGTATGTGGGTTGAAGGGGTGCTGAGGAAGATTCCAAAGGTCCTTAGTTAGTCATATTTTCTCATAGAAATGTGGGATAGCTTAAAAAAAGTTAGGCCAGTCTATTATGTTTCTTTCTTAACTAGAAAACTAAAGGTTGGAAACCAAAAACCAAAACCAAACCCACTGCCATCAAGTCAGATCCAACTCATAGCGAGCCCTCCTTGAGTTTCCGAGGCAGTATCACTATGAAAGTAGATTGCCCAACCTTCCTTCCAAGGAGTGGCCGGTGGGTTTGAACCACCAGCCTTCTGGTGAGCAGTTAAGTGCATTAGGTGCTATGCCACCAGAGTTCCTAAAGGTTGGAAGCCCTACAATAAAGTATTTTGTGCTTTTTCTTTTGAATTGCCACTTTTAAAGCTTAACATTTTAGTTATCTTATTGACTGACCCCTCTAAATACTAGTCATAGTCTCCATAAGCAGCTTTTGGAGTGATGAACTAGATTTATTTTGTTTGTTTGTTTGGGTTTTAGTTTCATTTTCTTGAGTTAAGGCTTAGGGGAACATCTTTAATATGCTGTAAAACTTAAAATTTCAGAGATGATCAACTTTTAAATGTTAAGAGTTGTATAAGAAACCTTTAAAAATGTATTAGTTAAAATTGCTCTTCATAAAAAGCTTAATCTGTGAAACTTAACTTTCTTCATTTTCAGGAGTGCATCAGAGCCTTAGGTAGAAATAAACCTCACACTCCTTTCCGAGCAAGTAAACTCACTCAGGTGTTAAGAGATTCATTCATAGGTGAAAACTCTCGTACCTGCATGGTAAGTTAGTTTTTATTTTGTTTGTTTTGTTTTATCCCAAAGGAATAACTGTGTACAGTATTCATGGGGAAGTTATGACATATATTGACATCATTTTAATCTTCTATTTAAGAGATACATTGATGTTATATTACAGCTATAATGCATTTAGCTGATTACAATATCTGGGTCGTCTTGAGGATTAGTTTCCATTGATTGCCTTTTTTCTTGAGTATGAGGTACACTTTCTGTGTCCATATATATATAATCTAGTAATTTTGGATATTATGAATGAATACCTTCTAGAAACTCTGGATTCTGTAATGTTCTTGTGAAGATAATTGATTTTTTTTATTGTGTTTTCTTTTAGCAGGCTGCTAACTTAGCTAAACTTACTTCCCCTGCTGTAGGCTGCAATTGAAATCTCCGTTTAAATTCTTTTAGACTTAGCTATGTTGCTTGGAGTCTGTTACGTGCATGCCTAGTTCAGGGATCAGCCAGAGATTTGGGCAATTAATAGGTAATATGTGGAATTTGAGTTTCCCCTTTTGTGGTTCTCTCCTTCCTGGACTTTTCCCTTCACCTTCAGCTGCTGTAGTTGTCTCCTTTCCCCTTCCTTCACCACTCTGTTCTTTGGTTTCTTAACCTATATGACCTCAAGTTTCTAATCAAGTTTTTGTTGTTGATTTGCCCTCAGGCAAAATGCTGCAAAAAATTAATAAGGGGGGAATGGTCAGTCAATCAATCTATGCTCTTCCTTCTTCTAGGTGTTGACCTCCTCCATTTCTTGCCAGAATTTGATCATTTTCTGGTAGCTTCAGAGAGTTGTTTACATTTTAACTAGAGTTTATAATTATTATCTAATCATTACTATGGAATAGTGAATTATCTTGGAGTTCAGATATCATTAATCTTTACTTTTAGATATCAGTGTTAAGATTCAACATAAATGAACTATTTCAGTATTATTGTTTTGATTATTTATAACATTTTCTTTACCTTTGCATTTTTTTCTCATAGATTGCCACAATCTCTCCAGGGATGGCATCTTGTGAAAATACTCTTAATACATTAAGATACGCAAATAGGTATGAGAGATGGTTCTCCATTCTGAAATTTGAAGCTAATAGAGTCATGTAGAGAATAATTTAAATGTGATAAGCCAAATCTACATTGGTCTGTTAATTTTCAAATTTTTTTTTTTTTTCAAATTGTGATTTGGGTGAAAGTTTACAGAACAAATTCACTTTCTATACAGCAGCTCACATACACGTTGTCTCATGACATTGACTACAATTTAACACAATGCAGCAACTCCCCACCCACTTCCTCCCCATAGTCATCTCTTCCCTGTGCCCTTCCCTCCCATGTACTCCTGCCTCCTGAGCTGTCTCCCTGTGCATACACAGCTCTTCTATTCTCCCATGATTGTTCTCTCCAAGGAGTGTATCTACCTAGTGTAAATTTTCAACTTATATGCCTGTCTTTTGTTTGACTGGAAGCCACAGGAGTGGATTCAATTCCAGACCTGAACGGCAGCTAGGGGCCATGGTCTCAGGGCTTCCATCAGGCCCTATCAGACTAGCAAACCTGGTCCTCCAAAAAGTTTTTTGTGTTATTTGTTAAGATGATATTTGGAATCATTTTGTCAAGTTCTGAAAATGTTTGGCAGTGTATTATATAGCTTGGGAAGGGATTGATACATTTAGTAGAATAGGTCTTTCTGTCCTAGAAAATGAAATTTTTTTCTATTGCACAAAGCTATATTTCAAAATACTGTATTACATTTAAATCATGTAAATTCTATTAAGATTTTTATATAAGTGGATTCATTTGTGACTTGAACTTAGAGATAAAATTCTTCTTTGTAATCCATTTTTAGTGTGAACATTCTCTTAATTTTATTGAATACAAATATTCTTCCTATTTATTTTAATCATTATGGAATTTTTATCTTTAGCCTTTTTTCAAAATGTATACATACAAAAAAGTATCCAAGAATGTGTGAATAGTTTAATGAATACTTATAAAGTGAAAACTCGGGTTGACAGACAGTGGTCCTATAAGTTTATGTGAATGATCAGAATTCCCAGGTGTATAGTAGAGCTGACAAGGGGCAAGGTTGTGGTCACTGATT